CCCCAAAACCCCAAAACCCCAAAACCCCAAAACCCCGAGGCTAGTTTCAGAATTTGAAAGATTTTTACAAAATAATTATTTCGAAGTGATTTTTGAGATTTCGAATTTTTGGGCTTTGAAGGGATTACATAGAGTCATTCTCTTCTACATGCCTGATGAAATTTATACGAGTTGGGTTACGTTTTGGAAAGACCAGATTGGGATTACAGATATGCAGCTGATGCTTTCTCTTCTTCCTCATTGGATCATGGGTTTCTTTGTTAAAATTTGATTGGGGCATGTTTTGGATCCTTTTTGGTCTGATTTGAATTTCCTGTTTGTGGCGACAAAATTTCAAAATGTCATTGATAGATCCTCCTAATATAATAAATCAGGTCACTAAGTTATTAGAAGGAAGTATAAACAGGAGGAAGTTAATTGCTCTGTCAGACCACTCTTTTTCATCCATGACTAAGAATACTCCACAAAGTGCTAAGAAGTACAACTCATTTGTGATTTCAACGAGATTCGCTCTTTGCTGATCATAAGGCCTCAGATAAACTAAATATACAATATACAACACTTGGACCAGAAGCATGATCAAGAGCAGGAAAAAAGAACTCATAAATTTTAGCTGAGTAAGCATCAGGATACTGAAAAGAGCAGAAATTGAAATAGTTGAAGCTATTAAGATCCAGTCAAAATCTTTTCATGATGAAAAATCTTTTGTAATGAGAAGTCTCCTCCACACCCAAGCTGTGGGATAACTCATGCTTTGCTTATTCTTCTTCATTCCTTGGTATAGCTCTTTCACCTTCACGATTTTCTTTAGGTGCTGAGATTTTAGAGACCAAAAGTGAATGATTCAGAAAACTCCGAATGCTATACATGCTCAGAGAAAAATAATAGCAATTAATAAGGAAACTTTAGTCTCAGTCCGAGAAATGTCAAAATAAGAGATCTCCAAAGATGAGGTTATTATCATAGAGGAATAAGCTTCTATAATGATTCGGATATAAATGTTGTATCTCATTAATTCTCAGAACCATTTTAGCAATTTTATAAATCATCCTTGACTCGTTTCCTCCTTTCTCAAGAAAATGCATGATATACAGTATGATAAGAGATGTAGAATCGTAACTGGGACAACTATCAAAATGAGCCCAATGTTATTAGTAAATGCGCTTCCTGATTCATAGCCCATTGTTTTAGCATCTTCGTTTGGCTGATCCATCTGAACCCAGTTAGTGATGACTTCAAGGAAAGAGTCTTTCTCAAATGTGAGAAAGTCTAAGTTAAACATTGCAAAGTTTGATGCAGTTAGGTATGCCACTATTTCATCAGGGATGTAAGCATTTGTCAGCAGTAGTAATAGAAGTAATTGTGACTGATTCAGCAAAATCCATACCAAGAATGGTGACTGCATGGAAACAGCTGATGGAATCACCACTACTGCAGCGGAAGCTACCTGTATTGCAAGGCTTGCCAGTGATGCAGCTTCAGCTGATGATAAATCTATTTTAGTTCACTGGGCACCTTCGTAGCTTGATTCACATTGCTCACAAGTGTTGTAATTGGTACTAAGACATTTTTTGCAGTTACTCACTGTGCATTTAAATACTTGGAAAATAACTAATTTAGCTCTGGGTGAGTCCCAGCCAGGTGCCAGTGTCTGAATTGCTACTGAATAATTCATACCATCATTTTGAGGATTTGTAAATTTGATCCTAAGTTGAGTAGAATCGAAGGATGCCCATGATGGAAATGACTCAGCTTCATTCTGAGTCATCACTAACGTGATATTACCGCTGTCTCAAGCAACAGTCAAATTGGGATACACATAACCTGTAGTGTTTTCAACAAGGTAGAAAGTCTCCGTGTCAAGATTGTATAACACTGTGGATGACACAATAAGGCCTGGACTATAGTTTCTCTCGCCGTCTGTTGCTGTGTACGTTACTATAGAAGCAATAAATACAGCACAACAAAAATAATCTTTCAAGTCTCTTTCACTTACCTCCGCTCAATGTGACAGAAATGCTGTTGAGAGACGCAGGAGTGTCAGTTTTTATTTGATAATTAGAATCTGAAGTGTCAATTTCTTGATAAACAAGATCATTTTGTCCTGTAAAATCTGAAGAAAACTGCAATTTCTCATAATCTCCTGAAACTATATCCGCATGTGTTGGATACTTATCCCCTGCAATTCTGACTATATCAACTTATTCCTGAACTTTAAAATTTCCGAATTTTTTTAAAAAAGGTGGAATATTTTCCTGAGACTATTCGGGCTGATTTATAAATTATTTCAAAGATAAATGATTGTATCAGATTTCATACTCTATTTCAATTAATCTCTGTACTTTCTTATTGAGAAAACTAACAAGAAAATTTTATCCTGATAATTCCAAATATTGAGGATTAAATTTTATGACAAAAGCAGAAAGATTTGTTAATAAAATCTATTTCTAATATATTTTAAACTGATTTCCTTGCTCAATATTTATGACAGAAATATTTCTCTTTTCTTATAGTTAGACAAACTATTTCTCTGAGGTGTATTTTAAACATAAAGTTGTCTTTTAGACATAATATATCTTGCTAAATACTCAAGCCTGGCATCATTTACGGTCTCAACGACTCAAAAGAAATAACTGCGATATAGAAATCATATTCAATTGATTAATACAATTCTTACCTAAATTCACTTTAAACACATCAAAATCTAAAAATTTAAAAACCGGGCATCATCATCTAAAACTCAGTTCTATTCTTCTTCTATTACCTCAATCTCCTCCAACAATCACTTCGCTAACCCCACCCCACTTAACCCCCAAAAATCACAAAATCTCCTCTATAAATACCATTTTTTTACCCGTAAATTCCTGCCCAAATTTTAGCTTAAAAAAATTAACTTTTCAAGTGAGAAATTGGGCAGAGGAGGACTTGGGGTTTTGGAATTATGAAGAGGATCGGAGAAGTGGGGATTTTAGGTGGGGCCTAGGAAGGAGGGGGTGAGATTTTAGGTAAAGAAGTGACTTGTGGTTGGTGAGATAGTGCGTGTTTTTAAGAGAGTGTTGTAGGATACTTTGGTACAGAAATATTCGAATGGAGGAAGCTGAAGTAAGATGTGTATGTGAGATTTCCTTTATCCAAACTCTTCAAGAAATTTAATTGAACAATGTGTATCTTTATACAATTATGGGTTAAATAACTTGAAATTTATATTTTAGAATTTCTCATAAAATTTGAAAATGACGTCAGCTAAAAATACTCAAGAATATTAGATATAGGGATCAAAGAAATACGACTTTAATCTCCAAACTTCATAATCATATAGACAACTTATTTGACTTACTAAGAGTATTATTTCTCACAGAGATATCATAGGGATAAATATTAGAGGTTCAGCTCTTGACTGATTTAATTCTTTTGCTTTTGATGTTATACTGACTAATTTTTCTTCCATCAGGACAGAGAATCAAGGAGTATACATAATCATTTGTTGCTTGCATCCTCCATATCCATCCTCATTGAGTAGATTGAGTAATCACCGAGCCTGCCTTCGCAGTTCCTGTGGAGACGTCAACTTCGATAAACATGATCATGGATGTATCTCTGAACCCAAGTCCAGAGTAAACACTCTGTTCAGATTCAATGTAAGCTCCTTGGGAATAATCGTAGTTGCAAGCAGTGACAGGTCAGTCCATGTACTTTTCCCAAATTGCAGAATCTGAATCAAAGCTGATTCTTTTGGATATGAACTTTGTCGAAGGCTGAGTGTTATGGCCAGCAATGAAAACATCACTACCACTGATTGGAAAGAGACTTAGAAATATGTTGTTAATATCTGTTGAAGTGATACATTTTGTGGCAAGAGTGTCAGCATTTGTGCGGCAAACTGCAGCTTTTCCATCATCTTTATCAGTGCAGCCTGTGAAGATGAACGATCCATAAGCCTTAATATTGTCTCATAAAAATTAAGTGTTACATTCTATCTATTTTAAAAGATTGTTTCCATATATAAGCAATTTATAAACCAAATGCAATACTTGCATAAGGAGATTTCACATGAAACTCATTGTTAATTCCAGTTGCCTGGATAGTTCCATTATTTCAAGAAATCTTTACAAGAAAATGGCTAACATAATCTATGCCAACATAGGCAAAGATAAACGATTCGTCAGGCATAATTGTCACCGCAAAAGTAGCAAACCCTAAGGGATATATTTTAAGGCAGATGAGCAAGATTGGCTCGTAAAAATTAATAGTAAGTATATTCAAACTAAAATAAAAATGCATATCTTGTAAGAACCTAACTCAAGGCGCTTGGCAAGAGCCTTAGCCTGTGCTTGGAGAATTTTAGATCAAGGCTTTAGCATTTTAGAGAAATATATTAGAGATTCCTTGGGAAACCTATTAGCATACGACTCTGGAAATTTGAGAGAAGACTCACAAAATTTCTGAAAAGTGTAAACCTTGAATTTTGTATATTTTGCAAATTTAGATTTGATGATATTTCCTCAGTTAATTTATAAATGAGAAAGCATCTTGGATACCATTCAAATAGATAATAATTTGAAATGCATTCTGATTGTCAATTGAAAGGAAGAGAGATATACCAAGAGATTTGACTTCTAGCGCCTTCATTTGGAGCAAATTGAAATCCGCTTTCTTTATAAATGTAATAATAACATTAATTATTGAAAACCTTATTCACCCAAAATTCTTTGAATGATCCAAATTTATTGTAAACAAGCTATATTCCTTGTTTGTGCTTGTAGATGTATTGAATGAATTATGATGGAAATAATAGCTTCCTGTAACACTGCCATACATGACAGTCTTGATACCAGTCTTGTCAGAATCTATATTTGAGAGATAGGCTTCATTAAAAGGCAAGTCTGAAGGCCTACCTTTTCCTTGGAACTGTTCTTTCTCAATTATAGTTGCACTGTCTCAGCTCTGGCTTGAGACAGGTAAAGCATGCATTAGCCAGGCCATGGCTATCATCCATCAGAAGTTGGGGATTTTTAAAATCTAGATAAATTAACACAAAGTTTAGGTTAGATTAAAGGAATCGAAGGTACCTTGAAAGAAACCATTTTAGGTGAATTGAATTTTATAAAGGAGGGTTTTAGGGTTTTGGGGTTTTGGGGTTTTGGGGTTTTGGGG